TTAACAGAGGGTGAAGTCATTCCTGGTGGAAATCTCATGTATACCTCTTCCTGTAAATCACCACGAAGAAAAGCGTTATTGACGTCTAATTGAAAAAGTTTCCAATTCATTTTGACTGCAACTGCTAAAATACATCTAACAGTGGTCATTTTGACCACGGGACTGAAAGTCTCATTGTAGTCGATTTCTTCCCTTTGTATATCTCCGCGTACAACTAGTCGAGCCTTGAACCTTTCAATACTGCCATCAGATCTATATTTAATCTTATAAACCCATTTACATGGTAAAGATTTCTTACCTTTTGGTAATTCAACCATTTTCCAGGTTTGGTTGGCCTCCAAGGCTTGGAATTCTTTAGCTATTGCATCCTGCCAAACTGGATGTAAAACTGCCTGGGAGAAACTTGTAGGTTCAATGATGTGAGAAATAGAGGTTAAATGTGATTGATTTTTAGGGAAAAGGACTATGAAAAGCAGGGTAGCAGGTGAGACTGGTGCTGCAAAACAAAAATTTGTTTGATTAGTCAAGTACACAGCATTGCACACATAATCTGCCAGATAAGAAGGTGGATTGTGTTCCCTAGCAGATCTCCTTAATCCAGTTTTAAGGGGAATAAGAGATGGAGAAGAAGTGGTTCGGAAGATAGGGGATGAATGTGGAACTATTCTAAGTGATATTATTATAGAAGGGAGAGTAGGGCTAGGACTGGATTCTGAGGAAGAGGGGTAATCAGTCTGAGGGAAAGAGTGAGTTTGGTCTGATATAGTAGAAACCTCTTTAGGGAAAATGGGTAGTTCAGGTGTAGGAGAGGAAAAAGGGAATATATCCTCATGAAAAATTACATCTCTAGAAATGAAAATGGTTATAGATTGAAGATTCAACAATTTGTATCCTTTCTTGCCAAAAGGATATCCTATAAACACACTTTTGACTGATCTATATTTAAGCTTTGATCTATGATGAGGTAGGGTAGAGGCATAACATAGGCAACCAAAGCATTTGAAAAAAATCATAAGATGGAACTTTTCCAAAAAGAATTTCATAAGGTGTTTTGAAATTAATCACTTTGGAAGGAAATCTATTGATTAAAAAGGTAGTAGTTAACAAACAATCACCCCAATACATAGTATGGAGTTTAGACTGAAATAGTAGAGCCCTACATGTCTCTAGAAGATGTTTGTGTTTGCGTTCAACCACTCCATTTTGTTGCAGGGTAGCAATACAAGAAGTTTGATGAAGGATTCCATTAGAGGAGAAGAATTTTGAAAGAATGGATCCTGATCCTAATTCCAAAGCATTATCTGAACGAATGATTTTGACTTTTGTTGCAAACTGCCTTCCGACCATTGTTATAAAAGATTGTAAGACTAAAAAAGCATTGCTTTTTGTTCTTAAAAGGTAAGTCCAAGTTTCTATACTATAATCATCTACTATCATTAAGAAATACCTATAACTATCATGAGTTGGTACCTTGTAGGGTCCCCAGGTATCAACATGAATGAGTTGAAAGATTGAACTTGTGCTGATATTGCTTGAATGAAAAGGTAATTTTGCCTGCCTAGCTTGAGAACATATATCACAATGATAATTAAATTTGGCGAGAGAAGGAAACTGAAAACTGGATATATTTTGCATACTAGAGAGAGGCATATGTCCCAACCTTTTGTGCCATAGGCTTACATTAGAATGGACTTTAGCAGAATAAGAAACTAAATGAGAGACAAAGTCTTTCCTAAGTTTATTACAAGTCAGATAAGACTGCAAAACTGATGGACTTCCATAAACTGGTCCAGAACTAAGAGAAGCTAGATTTAAGTAGATATAGGCCTTCCTTCATTTTACCAATTACCACTGGCCTCTTCAGTGAAGGGCCCTGCAAGAATGTACCAAAAGATGAAAAAAACAAGGTACAGGTGAGTTGTTGAGTGAGTTTGTGAACTAAAATTAGGTTAAATCTGAAATCTGAAACTTATAACACATTATGTAGGAATAAATCTGGCAGAACATGCACACTACCAACTTGACTGACCTTAACTTTATAGGAATTTGGGAGATTAACATACAAAGATTTGGTTAGAGGTTTCACATTGAATAAAATGGAATACTCAAAAGTCATATATTCTGAAGCCCCTAAATCTATTATCCAGGAGGTAGAATCCATGTAAAGGAAACAAGAAAGACAATATAGGTTAGGAGTAGTGATTGTTTTACCAGCACAGTTGGCACTAGCATGTGAATCAGAAATCTGCTCACCCTGTTGGCCAACCTTCACCTGCTGAAGAAGCTGGTAGAGCTGACTTAGCTGCTCTTGAGTGATGACCTTTCCTGCTGCGTTTTCTTCCATTATGTTGATTGACTGAGTTGTGTTATCTTCATTCATTATTTCTACATTGATGTGAAGAGCTCCTTGATACCTCTTGGATTTGGTGAACTTGAAAGTGGAGGGAAACCCAATGATTCTGTAGCATTTGTCAATGGAATGTCCAGGTTTCTTGCAGTAGTTGCACATTAAGTTACGCTTCTTTCCTTCAAATGTTGCTTTGAAATTTCCTTATGCATTAGCATATTTCTGAAAAATGGGCTGCTGATTTTGTACCAGGAAAGCAATCTCGACTGGGTGTTGTGCAACATGAATTTTTCTTTGCTTCTCATCTTGAATGAGAAGAGAATAAGCTTGATTGACACTCGGAAGAGGGGTAATCATCAGAATGTTGCTCCTCACAGCTGAGTAGGCATCATTAAGCCCCATGAGAAATTGAATGAGCCTACCATCTTGAAGGGATTTCAAGGTTCTGGACTTTCCTCCACAGTTACATTCACAGGTGCAGTGTATACAAGTATTCAAGGTATCTAACTCATCCCAAATCTTTTTTACCTTTGTATAGTATCCTGCCACATCAGAGGTCCCTTGCACTAGATCACTCAACTCCTTTTGTAACTGGTAAAGTTGAGCACCATTGCATTATCCAAATCTAACCTCAAGCTCTTTCCAAATTTCATTTGCAGTTTTAGAATAAAGGACACTTTCAGCTATGTCCTTAGACAGGGAGTTCAAGAGCCATGATATAACCATATCATTGTAATGATTCCACTGTTTGAAGTCAGTGGAAGAAGAATCAAGTTCAGAATAGGTTCTATCGATAAAACCAAGCTTGTTCTTAGTAGAGAGTGCAATAACAATGGCTCTACGCCATCCTCCATATTCATTTCCATCAAAGAGTGAGTTGACAAGAACCATACCTGGTGAGTCAGATGAATGAAGATAATAGGGGTGAGAGGAGTCGATAATTACAACAGCTGGTTGAGTGGCTGTGCTACCGGCAAAAACATTGGAGGAGTTATCTATGGAATTTGTTGCCATTTGAAACAGAGAAAGAGAAGGCAGATAACTAAAAAAATGTAGGCTAAAAAATTTCAGATAGCTACTGCTCTGATATCATGTAGAATAACAAAAAAATTACTTTTTATTATGATCTTTATCTTCTGTACAATGTGTATATTTATACAAGTATTTGAAAGACAATAGAGGACAGCTACAACTATATTTAATTAGAAGTACTTAATTCCTATATATTTGCCCATAAGCACATGTATTTGCCCATAACTCTTTATAGTTTGTATTTGGATAAGATAGTTCTGGAAGGTTTGAGTGCCTTGCAGCTATATCCAAAATGCTACATGAAGTGGACCGGATTTTGGGCTGCAGTAATGGGCCCAGTTTTCTATTTGAATTGGGCTATTGACTGCCTAGTTATTTATTCTTATTTGGACTGCTAACTGTCACGACCCGAAATTCTAACCTATCGTGATGGCGCCTATCTCAGTACTAGACAAACCGACAAAATCAATAACCCACGATTTCCTTTAAATTTAAAAATATAACGTTTAATACAATACCAAAGATGTAGTAATTTCCGATACAACACTCCCAAAATCTGGTGTCACTGAGTACATGAGCATCTAATATGAGTA